TCACCTGGAGAACAGAGTCGTCCCCCGTTGAAAACCCCTGGTATAGAAGATGCTAGAATAACAATATGAAAATAACTAAAAGGATATGCTGTCTACCTATGAAGAACTAATAAATTGATGTATCTGCAAAAAATATCATTTGGGGGTCTTTGATTTTTCAGATGATCAGGAGACGAGAAAGGAAGACCTTTTGTTTTGTTTTGCTGACATTTACTGTGTTTATTAAAAGTTACATTTAATCGACGGTAGTCATGGATTGGAGAAAAGCAGAGAAGGATTAGTCTAAGAGCTGTCAGATCCTCTTTAGAATAAGACAGGGTGTCAGTAAATACATACAGACATTAAAAAGAAATAAGAAAAAAAAATCTAAGAAGAAGGTGTAGGAATTGAGGGCAAGAGAACTGGGAGTTACCTCCACTGACTTCTGGTTCTATGTAAGATGTAGACTATTCTAGATGTGTTCTTCCTTGTATCTCCTGTTCAAAGCTCAAAGCTGTGAATTAGATGATAAGTTCTTTCTCTAGAGAGAGAATAGAAGGGTGCCTGGGTGGCTCAGTTGGTTAAGCAACTGCCTTCGGCTCAGGTCATGATCCTGGAGTCCCGGGATCGAGTCCCACATCGGGCTCCCGGCTCAGCGGGGAGTCTGCTTCTCCCTCTGACCCTCCCCCTCTCATGCTCTCTCTCTATCTCATTCTCTCTCTCAAATAAATAACATCTTTAAAAAAAAAAAAAGATTTAGAGGGAGAATAGAAGAAAGAGACTGAAATCCAGACAGCCAGTGAAGTCATCGTTCTTCTCCAAACTGATCTGAAACTGTTTCTAGCGGATCTACAGTGGGAGTTCCGAACTTCACCTGTTCTCAAAGTATAAATGTGCCGCTTGCCCTGCAGTCTCTGAAATTCTTGCTCTTCTTGCTTTTCTATACAGACTAAAAATTTTACATAATTGTATTGGGTTGCCTTATTTAATAAATACATGAAATATTTACACTGTGTTTCTAAAGATAAATTATTCACATCTCCCAACACATTTTTGGAACAGGTAAAATAGGAGATTAGAAGTTATCTGAAAGAGGAAATTTCTATGATGGGCATAGGGCTAAATCCTACTTAAAAGTATAGGTGAAAGTGAAATACTCGTGAGTGTCTTTGACAAAGTATATTTATAGTAGGGTATATAATTATCATATAATTATATGTAAATATAATTACATAATTATATTTATAGTAGGCTATAGTAATTAATTTCATTACTTTTTCTACACTAAAATTGCCAGATAGTTACCTGTGTCTGCTTTAGAAACTAGAAACACCTCTGTGTAAGTTTTGCGATATGCTGTTCCTACTCAGCTGTGGAAAATGAACACAAAGATTTTAATCAGGGTGTATTTTAATGCAATTGTTGGATGATTCTTTGCTCTGAGTGCTTATAGCTAGCCATTTTTATGCAGAACTGAAAATATGTTTTATGAGACCTGCTTTTGATTCAATATATTAGAAGGATTTTCAAGGCCTTTGAACCAAGATTATTAATTCATAATGGTTTTTCCTTGGTTGGCTACATTAACAGTATGTGTTGTTTTAGTAAGAGGGTATATGCAATGAAAACATTGTATTCTAATGCCTTAAATTACTGTCCTTGAAGAATAATCATAGTAAGCTGGGGTTACTTCAAAAATAATTCATTTTATTCATATCTTGAGTGAGGCCACGATAAAAGGAGAGACACAAAATTGCTTTTCTTAACAGAACACAAAATTGCTTTTCTTAACAGAACAAGCCAGAGAGAAAGTCCAGGAGAGAATATTCTTTGCAAATTCTCTGAAAAGGTTACTACAAGGTAACATTGCTTTCCAAATCTGGACTATTGAAAAGTGAGAGTTGCTGAATGGCAACGACCATCTCCTTGATCTTATGAATAAGCTCTTCTTTGCTTGCACAGGCCTCAACGCACTCTCCAATCATGGAGTGGATGTCCCTAGCCCCATTAGACTTCTCCATTCCCCATTCTTGTACACTTCAAAGGGAGATGTTAAAGGCATGGTCTATATGGTCTCTCTGTGTCCTTGCTGAACTATATATGGAGAAACCGTTTCTACAATTGCAAAGCACGCCTTCCCCCATGAAACAAGATCACAGGAGTGGGATTGTCACTTGAATTCCACCCCTGCTAAATCTCCTCCATGAAAAACAAAAGGCTGACCGAACATCATCATTCGGACATTAAAGTGAGATTTTATTGGGAATCTAAGCTGTGAGATGGGAAGATTTAGACTACAGTCTCAGAATTGCCTGTGGAACGGTGGTCTGGCAGCACGTGCCCAGTTAAACCACAGGCTGTGGAGCCCAGAGTCTAGGCATCCACACACAGTGCTTTTCTAAGGAGATGGCGACAACCAAAACTAAACTGTACGGTCGCAATGGTACTACACAGGACTGCGATAGTGGCTTAGCGCGGTTGGCCTACCACGGCTGGGAGGGAGCAGTAAGAAGTCTCCTCCAGCTTTATCCCATTTGTCAATATCGTGGAATAGATGAGAGTATTTTTTTTATTGTATCACCTAAGAAGAGAAATTGCTTGTTTTTTTTTTAAGATTTTTAAAATTTATTTGAGAGAGGAGAGAGAGCACACAAGCTGGGGAAGAGGCAGAGGGAGAGGGAGAAGCAGGCTCCCCACTGAGCAGGGAGCCCGATGCGGGACTTGATCCCAGGACCCTGGGATCATGACCTGAGCCGAAGGCAGTTGCTTAACCGACTAAGCCACCCAGGCGTCCCTAAAAAGAGGAATTGTATGAAAAATAATAAGAGAGGGTAAATGATGGATCCATTAAAGTCATCAAGAATAATATCCTTTCCAGTTCTAAGATCTATTTTTTTCTTAAAGGTATTTTCTAAATGTTTAGAAACTTCTGGTTGATTTTTGTTTTCAGTCTTTTTATAAGTAAGTATATCTTTGAATATTCTTTTTCCTCACTTCTGGCTTTCACACTTGAACAGAGCAGTTGAATAGATCTAGGATATATATGCTAAGATGTGTGTGAAGGCTCAGCTGCCAAAATACAAAATAAGGACTTACCTAGAAAGCTTACGGAAGCTTGTAGAGGAGTAAGTAAAGTCTGGAATCAGAAACAGAACCAGCAGAATAAAAAAAAGAAAAAGAAAAAGAAAAAAACAAAAAAAGCCAGCAATAACTGAAAGTCAACAGTGCTTCAGAAGGGGGCAGCAGGGGTGATAATGAACTCTATCGGAGGCTAGGAAATCGGAGCTCTGGGTCTCTGTAAAACTGCCTGTGTGCTTCAGTCTTTTCTTACATACGTGACTGAGAGGTCTGATCCACCAGGAATGTTTGACCCGTGAATGTCCAGACCACATTCATCGGGTGTTTGTTCACCTAGTATTCTGTAGCCATATTGCAGGTGGAGCCTTTAGGTATAGTGAGGAATAGGAGAGTACATAGCTGATTACAGTACCTTCTGATCCTCCTGTACTATCAGAGATGGTGACTTGGAAGCTCCAGAGCCCTACCTCAGTTCAACCTGAATTTAAATCTGGCAGTACATCCCTTAGCCCATAATGAGGGACAGCCTGGCTCTGGCAGCAGATTTTCTTGGGTATAGATTCCAGATCCATTACTTAGTTGCCTCCTAATCCTGAGAAAGATATTTAACCTCTGTAAGTATTCAAGCTCTAGTAAAAGATCCTGTCCCTGCCCTGATCAAAACCTTCTAAGAGCTTCCTATCTCAAGTAGAATAAAATCTATCCTCCTTTTTCAGCTGATAAGGTCCCTGGTGATCTGGCCCTTGCTTATGTCACTCTGATGTATTCTCTTCGTTACCACTATGCTAACTTATCTTTGAGTTTACTTTTCGTCTGCCTCTCTCTACTATTTCCTCTGCATCAAACAGCAGAGACTGAGTCTATTTTATTTGTTGCTGTAGCCACAGATCCTAGAACAGTGCCTGGTACAAGTAAGCACTCATAACCACTTGTTTATTCTATTGAGTGAGTAAGTACATACCATGACGTGCAAAGCACGTCGTACAGGGCCTAATGAGTGGTAAACCCACTGTAATTGTTGCTGCTGCTGCCATTATTATCTGTTTCTTATATTAGGCTTCCGCCTATGATTTCAATTAGCAATAATCACACCTCGGATAAAGCTCATTGGCTACCACCTATGATCTCATTTGGAGAAAAGGTTGCTACCAAAAAGTACTTTTAAATTTTGTATACTGGAGTATAATTGACCTTTGAACAACGTGAGGCCAACGCCCCACACAGTCGAAAATCCACATTTTTGACTTTTGACTCCGCCAGAACTTAACAACTAATAGCCTACTGTTGACCAGAAGCCTTACCTATAACATAGTCGATTAACACGTATTTGGTGTCTGTATTATATACTGCATTCTTACAATAAAGTAAGAAAAGTGGAAATATTGTTAAGAAAATCATAAGGAAAAGAAAATCCACTGATAGTTCTGGACTGTATTTACTGAAAAAAAAATCCACATATTAAGTGGGTCCACGCGGTTCAAACCTGTGCTGTTCAAGGTCCTGCCGTATACATGTATCAGAACATCATGTTGTGCACTTTAAATATATGCAATTTTTATGTCAATGATCTCTCAGTAAAGTTGTTTAAAGAATTAGTACACTACTGAGAGAAATGTAATCCCATTTGAAAAAATAGTCTCCGTTCCAAATTCTTCATAGTAAAATGAGGGCAGATTTTAAAATACACTGCTTACTTCTTCTGGCTTGTGTGTAGATGAGCTTTTGTCCACAACTGCAAAAGCAAGCAGGCCCAGAAGAGGAGGTCCATTCACTGCACTTTTCATTTTTACCTTAGGCCAAGTCGCCCTATCAAAGAGGCAGGGAGAACTGAATTTAATCAACTCAAATAAGATTTACCTCCGTCCTCCTTAGAAAGGCAAAGCCAAAAACGTGGTAACTAGTAAGAATGCTAACACTGTATTTTATTGCCGTTTGTATTCCAGGTGTTGCCACATCTGCAAACTTCCCGGACGAGTGATGGGCATTCGAGTGCTTCGTTTCTCTTTGGTGGTCATCCTTGTGCTGCTCCTCGTAGCCGGGGCTTTGACCACTTTACTGCCAAATATCAAGGAAGACAAGATGCTCACTTTGCGTAGGGAAATAAAATCCCAGGGCAAATCCGCCCTGGATTCCTTTACTCTAATAATGCAGACATACAACAGAACAGATCTCTTACTGAGACTCTTAAATCATTATCAGGCTGTGCCGTATCTGCATAAAGTGATTGTGGTGTGGAACAACGTTGGGGAGAAGGGGCCAGAAGAGTTATGGAACTCTCTAGGGCCTCACCCTGTCCCTGTGATCTTCAAACTCCAGGCAACAAACAGGATGAGAAATCGACTCCAGGTCTTTCCCGAACTGGAAACCAATGGTGAGTTGCTGCGGGGGTCCTAGCTGGCATGGGCTGCCACTCCCCAGAGCTCGGGGGGTGGGTGTGTGTCTTTCCCACCTTCTGCTTGTCTTACTGATGTGGAGAAAGCAGGGAGAGGGAATCAAAAAGAAACATAAGGGGCAATTTTCAAGATGTCAAGAAGCAGTTTAGTGGGGAAGAAATCACATACATCTTGCAACGGTGACAAAGAGGTTAATGTGAACAAAGATCGACTATAATTACACAGTATGGTATCACAGAAAGTAGTAAAATGCCGTTCGGCTTACGCTTAATGTATTTTTTTTTTTTTTTTTTTTTGCCACCTTCCTTTTCCTCCCGTTCAGAGCAGTTTCGTGAGCATTGTAATTTGCTTAGAAGACCCTCGGTTTTATTTATTTATAGGTTCATTCATTTCTAGGATAATGGATGAGAGCTGCATAATAATTTTCCCCTCAGGCAATTATAAGTATCAATTACAATTCAAATAAACACTTTTTCTACCAGACAAATCTCTCCGAGAGTACATTTCTTGTTTACTAATTTTGTTCAGGAAATTATTCATTTGAATGTTCTATCTGGGCACCATTGTTTATTACTAGTTTTGTTTCCATTTCCAAACTGTTGGATATAATTCTTTTTCCTTTCGTTGCAGCGGTGTTAATGGTAGACGATGATACGCTAATTAGCGCCCAAGACCTTGTCTTTGCTTTCTCAGTTTGGCAGGTAATGTTGCTCTGTCCTTTATGAATTCATCAGTATAAAGTTTTATCTCTGATTTAGTTGGGCAGCGTCGTGGTTTAATGTGGGAGTCATCTCAAACAGTGTAGACAGTATTTTTCTAAGAGACATAGATATTTGTTGCATGGTAATCAACATGTCTCGTGTTCATTTAAGCCAGCCTGCAAGTTATGGTATCTTTTATCTATATTTGATTTATATTTGATATGCTGGGGAGAAGAGCTAGAACTATCTTCCAGAGAACAATGAGGAGATGATCTGGTATGGCAAAGACTAGAATCGAGAGATATTTTTCTACGAGGCCACAGATACATGTCTCAAATGAGAAGTGTATTTCTGTATTAATGTTATATATAACTTTCTTTAAAAGAAAGCATTTATTACACCCACAAAATTTAATCCTAATGCTGGGACAACTTTTTAGGAATTAGGAATAGTAATAATTCCACATGCATCATTGTGGTGATAGTTTTATTTATTTATTTATTTTGGTTGTTTTTTTTTCTCCCCCCTAAATCCTAGCTGGAATAAACAGGCATAAATTGTTCGCTATTCTATAAACACAATTCTTTGCTATTGAATATGTGTTAATTAATAGTAGCTTGCTTTTACAAGTTGCAGAAATCAGGACTGCACACCAGTATTCTGAAGCTGTGTCAAATAATGAAACACTGTGCTACCCAATAAATGGTCTAATTTGCACTATAGTAACCCTCCTTAATTAGCTACGTGGGATATAAGAACATTAGATATTAATGGTAAGTGGTCACAGTACTCTGCAGGTATCAGCACTCTCAAAACTTCAGTTTCTAACTTTATACCAAGTTCAACAAGTTTTTTTCCCGTATAGCAGTTTTTCCAGCCCTGTAAATAAAGCTTCTTAGGCAAAAAATTCTAATGTAATATTCCGGCTGTGAAATTTCTATTTCAGGTAAAAAAAAAATCAATTTACCTAAAATGTCAGTGGTGGTGGGGGTGGAATAGGAGAACTGTGCTTATTTAGAACAATCCAAGTAAGCCACAATTAAAAATGGATAAATATGATTTTTAGGTTTTATTCATAGAAGAATAACCAAGAACAGTTTCAATCCATTGCACGAGGTAACTTGACTCCTACAGTTCAGTCCCATCAATGCCGGGCATAGTGTAATGATTTGGGGTATAGAGGCAGGCAAGGCTGGAGTGGACATCTAGCGTGCTTTTGTGCTCACCTGTTACCGCTAATTAGTGCTATGACTTTTCCTTCTCTAGCCGTCTATGGAACCTCATTCATCCTCCTAAATGATGTCAATGGTACTTGCTCTCTGAAGCCCCCCAGGGTTTATCCTCGACTCCCTGCCCTTCCCCTTTGCCTCCCAGTAACAGAGCTGTCACCCTGTCCTCAGTGCTTCCAACAGGCTTACCCAGCTGCACGTACAACCGTCTCACAGTATGGGAATTCCTTGTTCACATAGCTGAATCATACCCTTCCCAGATGATGACTTTTTTGAAATGGGATTTAACCCAGGCTGATTTAGATGTGTGTGTGGATGTGTGTGTGTGTGTGTGTGTGGATGTGTCCCTAGTTTAATGTCTGTTCAGTAAATGAGTGAAACGCAAATTACTTATGAGATTGAACTAATAAGCCTTTTAACTCTATAAATTCTTACTCTTTTCCATGCTTCACTGGTTTTCTCTTGTTTGCTGGTTTTTGTTTCATTTTTAGTTACTCTCATCTTACTTCTATGGTTTTACTACTATCCTTTCTTCAAAGAGTCTGACAGTGCGTTGGTGGTATAGTGGTGAGCATAGCTGCCTTCCAAAGAGTCTGACAGCGTCTCATTATATATTTTTTACTCATGTTTTTAAAAAGGAAACACCCAAGCTGAGAAGGGGGAAAATATAACATTGTTTAAAATCAACAGTGACTTTCAAGAACATTGAAATCAACATGGAAAAACAGAATCATACATGTAGATCCACAATTTTATGTGCTCCTTAGAGATTGAAACAGATTTTCAAAATTATGCTATATCTTCTTATCTCCCGTAATAAATAGCATTCGTACAGTCAGCTTCTTTTGAAGCAAACTTTGAAGAACCAGACTCTTTGGTGACTAGATTTTGTTAATATCAGAGAACATTTGAATTCAGAGAACATTTGTAAGGTTAGAAATTTTGTTAGCAATTTGGATTGCGATGGAATTTTGACCTGCAAACGTATCAGAATGTAGATTTATGAAGTTGCCTGGAGTTAGATGAAATTGAGATGTGGAAGCCAAGAATAAAATAAAGTTGATAAATCCGTTTAATTCTCTCTGTAATGAATCATTGCCTTTCTCACCATGTCTGCTCTCAAGAAATGCCACCCTTAATTGTTCCTTTTCCATCTTTTCAGCAATTTCCTGATCAAATTGTAGGATTTGTTCCTAGAAAGCATGTCTCTACTTCATCAGGTGTCTACAGTTATGGAGGTTTTGAACTGCAAACACCGGGGTTTGGAAATGGCGACCAGTACTCTATGGTGCTGATTGGAGCCTCATTCTTCAATAGTAAATACCTTGACCTGTTTCAGAGGCAACCTGCAGCTGTCCATGCTTTGATAGATGAAATCCAGAACTGTGATGATATTGCCATGAATTTTATCATTGCCAAGAACACCGGGAAGACTTCAGGGGTATTTGTGAAACCTGTAAACATGGGCAATTTAGAAAAAGAGTCCAACGGTGGCTATCCTGGAATGTGGCACCGAGCTGAGCACTTTCTGCAGAGGTCTTATTGTATAAATAAGCTTGTTAGTATCTACGATAGCATGCCCTTAAAATACTCCAACATCATGATTTCTCAGTTTGGTTTTCCCTATGCCAACCACAAAAGTAAAATATGAAACTAAAACAAACAAAAACAAACCTCAAAACTGCTTAGTATCTGAGTAGCTTCTCTTTGCTAGGGTTGGTGTTTTGTTTTGTTTTTTGGGGTTTGTTTGTTTTTTTAAGCAACATCACGAACTTTTATCCACTACAGAAGTCTCTACAAAGGAAAAAATGTACCATGCTTCTAGGACATAGAATTTACAGGAACTTCAAAAACCAAGAAGCTGGTACTCTCTAGATAGGTTTTTTTTGCGAGGAATTTTCATACACGGATAGAACTTCTTGGTCAGCGATTTTATTGTTTACATTCTGAGACAGTTCTACAATTTCTTGGATTCCTGGCGTTTGCCTTAAGGACCTATAGCAAGTTGTCTCCAGGATCAGAAACTTCAGAAAAGCATTTCTCAGCTTTTTCCCTAAAGGATGATTGTTTTCATTTGAAGCTTGAAATGCATCATTAGCAAAAGCCTATGGCATAGAGAAAAGCCATGTGAGGGGAGAATAGTCTCAGTCCCTTATAAAAACAAGTGGAAAACTCATGACTCTCAGTGCTTTCATTGTGGTCTTTCCAACCAGCCCTTTCCAGCACTAACTCGGCCCAGCATGGTTTTGATGCAACCGTCAGTGCTTTGATTTTCGTTGATAAGTCTGTTGTGACTGGGAGAGTTCATTTTAGTAGCTGAAGGATGTCTAGTTGTTTGCTTGATTTTTGTGAATATTTACTGCATGGATCACAAAAAAATGCAACCTGTGTTTCTTATGTGCAACTTCTATGCAGCAGGGAGCAAATGTGATACTGGATTCAGGTAGTGCATTTTGTCCCTGAATCTGACCTTGAGAAGTGTACGTTAATTCCTATATTTTACAGAAACTGTGTGTTGTTTAAGAAACATAAAATAATCTTCTGAAAGAATGATTAATTAGGAACTGAGGAAAGTTACAACCTTTGGTATGGAAAGACCTTTACTGTTAGGGCATAGGCTTATCTCATGGATACTAAAGAGTTACGTGTATTATACACAAAGTTAAACTCTCGTATTCAGAGCTGCTGCTGCTTTCTTTTTCTTTTCTTTTTTTTTTTCAAAAAAGACCCAATGCATTCATCATGATGATATTTTGGTTACATACAGGAGAAAAATAACTGAATCATAGCAGAGGAATTTTATAGGGAGTCTGCATCGTAATTGAGCAAGTAAATTGTTAACTTGCTCACTCTGTTACATGAATTAGTATCTGTGTTCCACATAGTGTCTGTGTTTGGTCCTTGTTTACAAGAGTAGCAAGGAATAATTAAGCTCCTGTATACCACCTTCTCCTCTTCCTCTTCCCCCTCCTCCTCCCATAATGTCACTGTATTCTCACATTTGCAAAGCTGTGAAAATATTATAATAATCATGGTTAATGTTCCAACAATGAGGTCTATGTGCAGTTAGTTCAGTATATGTTGTTTCTTTACATTGGCATGTGTATGTGTCTTAATGCAGTCAGATAAAACCAGTAGAACCCAGAACCTCACTAAAAACCTATAATGTTCATTATCTGCTTTGGCCAACCTTGGTAGTGATTTTTAGCCTCTTGGAATTCACCTGGCAGATAAATAAAATAAACTTCTACCATGCAGATGTTCTCTTAATTAAGCAGACTCACGTTTTTGTGGTCCGTGTTTTTACAAATTTCTAAATATTCTAATATATTGCTCAGGGTAAAGCAGAGGCATTAGCTACGTTCCCCGGGGTTGGGGGGAGTTCTCCAGTGGGAAAATATTCTGAGATTTTATTTCCCATTTTGTGTTCTCAAACTTGTCTTAAGCATCACATAAGTTAATCGTATCATGTTTTACAGACATTATAGAGCAAATATGATCACAAAGTGAAGTTCAATCTGTGATACAGAGACCTTTGCATTGCGGCTGTGATTCTACTAAAACTGTTTTCCTCTGTACACCTCTTATTCTTGCTCCAAATGATTGGGAGAAGAGATGCTGCTCAGGTTTGAAACTGCATGAGGAAAGCAATGAACTTAGAGGCTAGGTGTGCCAGGAGAGTATTTGGACTCAAATCCTTCCTAGATCTCACATTTACTTAACTTCTTGGAGCATCGGTTTCCTCATCTGCAAAAATGAGAGTCCTATCTACCTAGTGGTTTGCATTAAGAAATAGAAGAGCTGTTGGAGTGTGTGACTGCTAATAAGCGCAGTTAATTCTACAACTCAATACCTAGGTATTAGAAAGCCTCTGGGCCCACCAGGTGAGATATTCAAGAAATTATTCCTATGTAACAATGGGCAGAGAACCATGGCAATTTTCAGGTCTTTATTTCAAATGCCCCTTTTCTTATTCTTAAAACCCTACATACTCATTCTAGCAATTTTGGCTTATTCAGAACAGCATAAAGGAGAAATGAAAAGCACACCACCACATTAACAATGGCTAGGCGTATTTGTGTCTATTCCTCCTGACTTTCTGAAGCATATATTTTAATAGCATGATTTATTTGGTATTTCATTGGATAGATAAACTATAATTTATATAATCAATCCTACTACCATTTTGTTTGATTTCTTCCTATTAGGACAACATTTGGGTAAATGCCCTTGCCTTTGAGCACATCTATAATGATTCCTTTAAGGCCAAGAATTTCAATACTTGGACCCATCCAGTAGTATGCATGTTTTTAGAGTTTTTGGTACATATTGCTAGGTGTCTCCAGAGGCATTGCCATCGCTGCACTGTTAGTATCACATCCGAGGGCACCTGCTTCCCATCAGACTTCCCAACATTGCATATTTAACGTTTTCTTTCCTTTTTCCATGTACAAAATTCGCAAAGGATTTGGAAGGACTTGGCTATGTTAAGAACTCTGTTAAGGGGCGCCTGGGTGGCTCAGTTGGTTAAGCGACTGCCTTCGGCTCAGGTCATGATCCTGGAGTCCCTGGATCGAGTCCCGCATCAGGCTCCCTGCTCGGCAGGGAGCCTGCTTCTCCCTCTGACCCTCCCCCCTCTCATGTGCTCTCTCTCTCTCATTCTCTCTCTCTCAAATAAATAAATAAAATCTTTAAAAAAAAAAAAAAGAACTCTGTTAAGGCTAAAAAACAGGAAGCCCAACTGTCAAATAAAAGATTCAAAGGCAGTATAAGCTTTAGGAAGCTTTTGAAGTACTTCTAGAAACTCTTTGTTCCCAGGCTTGAAGTATAGGCAATGAATTGCTGACCCTTTGCTTGTCCCAGCAATAAAAAAATTTCGGGGTGGGGGAGCGGTGGCTCAGTCGGTTAAGCGTCCAACTCTTGGTTTCTGCTCAGGTCATGATCTCAAGGGTCGTGGGATTGAGCCCTGTGTGGGGCTGCACGCTCAGCGCAGAGTCCGCTTGGAATTCTTTCTTCTCTCCCTCTGCCCCGTCCCCCCACCCCTCAAATAAATAATCTTTTTTTTAAGATTTATTTTTAAATTTATTTATTTGACAGAGAGAGAGACAGCGAGAGAGGGAACAGAAGCAAAGGGAGTGGGAGAGGGAGAAGCAGGCTTCCCGCGGAGCAGGGAGCCCAATATGGGGCTCGATCCCAGGACCCTGGGATCATGAACTGAGCCGAAGGCAGACGCTTAACAACTGAGCCACCCAGGTGCCCCAAATAAATAAATCTTTAAAAAAAAATGCTCATATTCGTTCCTCTTGGAAAGAACCAAGGCTTTGACCCAAAGGTGTGTGTGCCTGCTTCTATGTGTGCACTTACATGCTCTATGGATGCAAGGGAGGGCAGGAGGTAGAGGGACTCAGGAGGAAATGGAGTGGAGGATCAAGCTTTGATGGAGGAGGGTTGGGGAGGTGCCAAATCTCACTGGCTGCTAGGGCTTCAGTGGTGAGATGTGATCATCCTTTACCCCATGCTATATCATAAACCAGTATTTATTGTCCTGCTAGGGATCTCCCGACTTGGCTCTCTCTCTCTCTACTCCCTTCCTCCTCACTTCCATGCCTCCTTTTCTTCTTTCATGAAGGTTCTCTCACTATAAAACCTGAAAATATACTTACTGTAGATGAAATAAAAAGAACATTTGATACATTGGAAACATGCACCGAGTCCTGGCTCCACTTAATTTCCTTCTCTGGAGAATGGGGATGAAAATGCCTGCCCGAAAATTTCCCTGGTTGCTTTTGGTTTCAAAGGGCATAATGTGTAGAGAGAACTTTGTAGCATCAGGAAAGCACACAATTTTTTCCAAAGCTATTACAGATAAAGAAAGAGCAGCTTGCCCAAGAATTAAAGAGACTTGGTCGTGAGTTAGTAACTGTGTCAAAATTATACCTTGGAGCATAAAAAGAAGCAAGAATGAATATGCAAGTACTGAAAACAATTTAAGGAACCCGCTTTATTAACTCTGGCTCAGAATGGAATATTCAGATGAAGTGTTTATCTAAACTAGAGATGACTCAAGGCTTCTCCTCTTTTTATATGTCAATATTTTATTTAAAAAGAAAATCAAATTCTTGATCAGAATATTTTAAGTAGTTTACAAAAATAAACCTGAAAGAAACAGCTTTAATTTACAGCAGTGATTCTTAACTTGGGCTGACTTTACCCCCAGGGTTTGCACAGCAAGGTCTGGACACATTTGGTTTATTACAACTGGGGGCATGCTACTGGCTTTGAGGATGCAGCAGCCCCCCAACACTAAGCACCCCAAAATGTCAGTAGTGCTGACGTTGAGGAAAAATGTGCCTGACATTGTATTATAGAATATCTGGTTGGTAATTTATCTATATAGCACATATTTTATCACAATGCAAGTTGCAATGTTAAAGTTTTATGCCATATAACGGTGCCTATTGGGACAGAAAACTAAAGGGGCAGGGAATGTACATATATTACTGATAAGACATCTGGTGCATAATTCTGTTACCCCCAAATCTGATCAAAGAGCCAGAAATTTTTCTGGTTAAGGTTTATTCCTGCCTCTTTTTTTTTCTTTTTCTTTTTTTCCCCATTCTGCATGTCTTTATTTTCACATCTGAAGAAATAGAGCTTTAGTTTCTGGGAAGGACAGATACCTAATAGGATAGATACCTATTTCTGAATCAGTACTGAGCAGTATTACATAATACAGTGTATATTTTAGTAACACATCTCTAGTTAAAGTCAGGATGATTGACTTAATGTAAGCTAAATATAAATTCTCAAATAATCATATTTGAGTGTTCAAGTATTTTTGGTTTAAGCAATAAACTTAATAGCTAGTGAAGACAATTTACATAGGAAAGAATGCTGCAATGGGAGAATTAGGAAATATCTTTCTCGTTATCAGCTAGGTAATGATTTAGGTTATGTAAATTTATCTGGGTCTCAGTTTTCACATCTACAAAAGGAGAAATGAACTAAATGATTGGTAAATTTCTCTCCAGCTGCAAAATTTGGTGACCCTAAATCAGTGTTGAATTGGTAGGTTTTTAAAGGAACCAGATTAGGGGCACCTGGGTGGCTCAGTCAGTTGAGCATCCACCTCTTGGTTTCCACTCAGGTCACGGTCTCAGGGTCATGGTCTCAGCGGTGGGATCAATCCTGGAGTTGGGCTCCATGCTAAGTGCGGAGTCTGCTTGAGATTCTCTCTCTCTCCCTCTGCCCCTGCCCTCACGGGCTCATGCACTCTCTCAAATAAATAAATCAATCTTAAAAAATAAATAAATAAAGGAACCAGGTTATACTTCCTGACAAGAAAAAATAATCCCTTAGAGTTTAGCTCTGTTGGAGCTTACTATCTTCCCCACACCCTCAGCCTATCTCCCCAGGAGTCCTTTCTCAAAGTGAATACTAATACAATTAATATGAATTCAATTAATACACATCACTACTGTTGTACTGTTTTTGAACCAAAAGACATAATGATTATGATGTGACAATGATGAGGAAGAAGACAATGCCATCGGTCAGTGATAAACACTGACTGGAAGAGATTATGATTTATTTAAAAGGTGTGTTACTTCTCAACCAAGCTTCTGTTGCTGCTGGGCCTTTATGAAGATCCCAAAGAGACACGCAACAGGGTAACAAGCCACTTGATTCAAACTGAACTCTGAATCAGAAATGATCGTGCACAGCCCCTAATCTCATAAACCCAGAATGCAAATACAAGTTTTGAAGACTCAAACTTAAAAAAAATTTAAAAAAAAGACTAAATTAAACTATTGATTCTATTGAAGTTTATAAAACACTATTTTTATGGAATTTACTGTGTTACCAGCAGATGTCAGTGCAACCTAATTAACATTTTTAGCAGCTCAAATACCTGCCAGTAAACTGAGTGAAAAGAGTCTTAAAATAGCAAAGTTAACAACCGACTGTCAATGTTTTTGATTAAGAATATCTTCTTCAGTGGAGCTACAGGATGATATCAGTCCTTCAGAAGTTACTTAGCTAAGTGGGCCCTGGCCTAGGTAAATCATATTACATAAGTTGTAACACATTGGTAATTGTCATCATAATTTACGTGACAATAGCATTTCTCAGTGACCTATAAAAAACATGATCTTAATTAAGTACAAAATGCTAATCTGTGGTTAAGCATAAGAATAACAGTATTTTAAAAACCCACACATCATAGACACTAGCACCAAACAAAACTCATTTGTGTCTGTGTGGCATATTTACAACCCCTGAAGAAACACATTAATTCCTAATGAATCCTAAAATATCTATAGTGTGATACCATTTGTTTTGTAGAATGTAGACTTTAGCTTTTAGCAAAAGTTGTTAATCTAATGGCAGTAACAGCAGTGCCTATTATGTGAGGAACACTCACCTTATCCCATGTAATTTTTGTAATTTTGATACCTGTATCTCCCACATTCGAGGGTTCAGTAAGTGACATTCAGGGAGGTTAAGTAATTTGCCTAATAAATAAAGGTTGCACAGCAAGTCAAAGTGACAGACTGCAGCTGGTTCCAAGGCTATACTCTTCTCTTAATGCAATATTCTTACCTCTAGAAATACTATTTCATGAGCCTCATGAACTAGCCTTTCGTTGTTGCTTTCTCATCACGCTTAGAGTTGAAGCTATATTTTGCACAAGAGTTCTACGACAATATGGGACACAATTAGAATTAGTCTAAGATAAGGTAGAATAAAGAAATACTTACAAAATTACTTTTAAAAAGCGAAAGCCAGCTTCTTATAAAGTTAAATATGCACTTTCCATATAACCTAACAATCCCATGCCTGGATACTTACTGAAGAGATATGAAAATTTATATCCACACAAAGGCCTATAGACAAATGTTTACTGCAACTTTATTCATAACCATCAAAAGCAGAAAACAACTCAAATTTCCAACTAGTTAAAGGATAAACATAATTTGGTTTATCCACATATTAGAATGCTTTTCAGCAATAAAAAGGAACAGACTACTGATATATGCAGCAACATGGCTGAATCTCAAAATCAGTTAAGCCAAGTGAAAGAAGACAGACACAAAAGATTCCATGTATATGACATTCTGGAAAAGGCAAAACTATAGAAACAGGAAACAGATTGGTGGTTGTCAGGGCCTGGGGGTTGGAGGGGGGAATTGACTATACAAAGGGCATGAAGAAAATTTGGGGGCTGATAGGAACATTCTAGATCTTGTTTGTGGTGGTGGTGGTGGTGGTGTGACAAAATATATTTATCAAAACTCATAAAACCATACCCTTAAAATTGGTGAATTTTATTTCATGTAAATTTTGCCTCAATAAACCAGGCTTTTTTTTTTTTTAAGTAAACAATATTTGACAAAATTCAACATACATTTATGACAAAAACTCTCAACAAAGTGCGTATAGAGGGAATGTATCTCAGCATAATAAAGGCCATAGATGACAGGTTCACAGCTAACATCATACGCAGTGGTGAAAGGTTTAAAGCTTTTCCTCTAAGATCAGAAATAAGAAAAGGATGCCCACTCTCCCCACTTTTATTCAATGTACTATTGGAAGTCCTAACCACAACAATTAGTCAAGGAGAAGAAATAAAAGACTCATACAAAATATTAGTAATGTCATTAGCAGGAAAATTTATGAAAAGTTGAGTCCAATAACGAGAGATAGAAGAGAAGTTAACAACCTAAACTCTTGCCCTGGAATATCTTGCCTAGTCTGGGAACGCAGGAGAACAGAAACCAGGGCTCTAGTAGCAAATGGCCAACCCACTTGCATGTGACCTTGAGTGAGGCATGACTTCTCTCCAAATCTTATCTAACTCACCGGTAAAGAAATTGCAATAAATATTTAAATTCTTTGAACTTTTTGAACTTCTCAAGCCAGAAAAACAAAACAAGGACTGCATTTGCCATTCGGAAAAAATCTCCCCCTTGCAGGTCTAATATGTAATTCCTTTGGTAGAGAAACGGAGTTAATAAAACTAGCTTTATTACTCACCATTCCTTTGGAGAGGGAAATTTTATAATTTGGCCAGCAGGGGTCATGCATTCATCTAGGAAAAACTGACAATTCTTCATATCAAAATGCTTTTCAAATTAATGTTTCCCTAATATTTTCGTCTGTGTTGATTATGAATATTGTTTGTACAAATGCGTAGAGGAAGGAAAATGTCCTAAATATTCAACCATTTTCTCAGTTCTAATAAAATATGGTAATTAAATCTATATACCAAGATGGAAATCTCTTTTATTTCATTATGTTTAATATTCCAAGATTTTTAGAAAACAGAGTAATGGCTCATGGACATTCCTTGCCCAGTCTTGGCAAATTCAGCCCTTTAATGGCATTTTCTTTACTTTCAACGTCATCTCCTGCATGAAGCCTTCCCCTGGCAACTCATTTACCATAAACCTGTATATATCCTAATAAAGCAACTACCACATTGTGTAGTAACTCTTTGTGCATAGGTCTGTCTCTCTGCTTTTTTTTTTTTTTAAGATTTATTTATTCATTTGAGAGAGCGAGAATGAGAGTACATGAGAGGGGGGAGGGTCAGAGGGAGAAGCAGGCTCCTCGCTGAGCAGGGAGCCCGATGCGGGACTCGATCCTGGGACTCCAGGGTCACGACCTGAGCTGAAGGCAGTTGCTTAACCAACTGAGCCACCCAGGCGCCCTCTGCTTTTTTTTGACCACTCCCCAAACTATAAATTCCCAGGAGGTACCCATGCTGCATCCCCAAGTACCTTGTGCTCAATAATGCTTGTTGATGATAAGTGAACAAGTGAACAAATAACTTGAAACCAATTTTACCTCCTCCAAAAAAAGTGGTTTTTTGATGACCAGGTGAAAAGAGAAAGGACCAATAGGTGGTCAGATCAACAGAAAAGCGCAGACACATGGCTACTTTCCCTGGAGGAACATTTGGGACAATTACAGCTTATCAAACAAAATAAGAGCAGCGCCATATAGAAACCAAAAATTTGGGATAATGGAGTCGGTACATGGCTATGTAATGGATTAGCTATCTTTTTGTTGAAGACATCTGGGGAAGCCTAAGGATACCTTCTCAGAATCTTTTTTTTTTTTTTAAGATTTTATTTATTTATTTAAGACAGAGAGAATGAGAGACAGAGAGCATGAGAGGGAGGAGGGTCAGAGGGAGAAGCAGACTCCCTGCCGAGCAGGGAGCCCGATGTGGGACTCGATCCAGGGACTCCAGGATCAGGGATTCCAGGAGCCGAAGGCAGTCGCTTAACCGACTGAGCCACCCAGGCGCCCGAGAATCATGTTTTTAAAAGACAAAGTAAAATACCTAGGATTACAAAGAAAACTAATTACATTTAAATACAGTTTTCAAAATATGTTTAAATGATTTGTTAATGAGATCTAGCAGTAGGTTTGATAACTACCATAGTTTCATAAAAGTGATGAGTGTAAATGATATTTTGAGAAATCTGTGACAACTGTAATATGATATGAAAATATGTTTTTGACAGTCACAGGTACTGCTAATCTTTTGTAGTTTTGCCTATATTCATAATTGATAAAAATGCTAAATTTCAGACTAGCGAGATTAAAGTTGTACCTTTTCCTCCTTTCTAAATACATAGACCCCTTGAATTCTATTTATGGACCACTTGAGGGGGGTCTATGGACCCAAGGTTAAGAACCCTGGCATCAAAGGAAGTTAAAATGGCAGAAATTTCAGAGTTATGAAATCTGCAGGAGCAAAAGGATTTTCCTTCTACCGGTAGTCTTCTCTCTCTTTTCCTTCATGAAGTTCACAGTATTCACTTCCTCACTTCTCATTTACTCTTTGCCCCATCACAGTAGGGTTGTATCCCTGTTGTTCCATGAAACAATCCCTTTCCAAGTCTTGCCTGATGTCTAGACATAACGCAGTCCCATGGGTATGTCTAGATCCTTAACTTGTTTGATATCTCTTTGGCTTTTATACTGTTGACTAATGTCTTATAAAACTTCTTTCCTCTTTTGTCTTAATTCTGTTTTTCTCATACCTCTTTGGCTTTTTTTTCAACCTCCTATCCCATCTCCTCTCCTGCCTGTGGCCGTGTCCTGGGAGTTCTATCTACCTTCTGCTCCTCTTCTCACTCTGCATACTTTCTCTGGATAGTCTCATCCACCTACTCTACATCTTTAGGCCAAGCCTCTTTCTTGAACCTAAGACCCTATATCCAACTATCTATGACACAACTCTTCTTAAATGTACCAGGGATCCCTCAAACACTACACATCCAAAATTAAACTTATCCTCATCTCCTCCCTGCTTCTTCCCTATGTTCCCTATTTGGGTGAATTGACACTGTAATGCAAAGCTTCCCCGGTCAAAAGTCTGGAAACTTTTTGATTTCATCTTTTCCCTTACTCCCAGACTTAAAATTAATCGCCATATTTTCCAGATTATCTACCTTAAGATCTCTTAAGTTTGTCCATTTTTTTCCAGGTCTACTATAACCACATTAGACATTTTAATAGCTACCAATCATTGCTTATGATGTGTCAAGTACTATGCTAAGTGTTTTAAATACGCTGTTTTATTTAATCCTCATAAATGGGGTAAAATTACTATGGGGTAAAAATTACTATGCCTAAAATAACAAGTGGGGAGATAGAAGCAAAGGGAGGGGAAGAACTAGCCCAAGGTTATAGGGCTTTTAAATAGCAGAGTCAGGATCAGAGTGTTGGTTTGTTGGACTCCAAAGCTGTAGGCCTCCTTGTTGCCCTCAGGGTCTCTGGGATTGCCTTCCTGAAATCTATTTGTTATGGTACCGCTAAAGTTCTTTTTCTCACAGGCAAATCTGACCGCCTTACTCTGCGGCCTGTAGTTTTGCAGTGTTCTGGAGATCCCTCACCACAGCACCGAAATTCCTCCCCTGGGCTTCATGAATTCACCCTTGCTTACCTCTCCAGCTTCCTCTCTTGCCAGCACCCAGCTTGCACTCCACACTCAGCTGCTTTTCATTCCTTCAGCACACTTCCCTCTCCTACCCCACTGTACTGGTCTGCTCGGGCTGCCTTAACAAAGTACCACACACAACAGAAACTGATTTTCTCACAGATCCAGAGTCTAGAAGTGTGAGATTCAAGGTAACAGCAGGGTTGCTTCTTCTGAGGCTTCTCTCCTTGGCTTGCAGATGACCGCCTCCTCTGTGAGTCCTCACGCAGTCTCTCTGTGTGCATGCATCCCAGCTGCCGCTCTGTGTGTCCAAACTTCTTTCTTATAACACCAGTCAGATCGGATTAGGGCCACCCTCATTTTAACTTAATCACCTCTTGGAAGGCCCTATCTCCAAACAGTCATATTCTGAGGTACTGGAGGTTAAGGCTTCACCACATGAACTGAGGAGAGGACACAATTCAGTCCCTAACACCCACTCACCCAGCTAACTCCAACTTACCCCTCTTGACTCACTCGTTCATGCCACCCTCTCTGGGAAGTCTTCTCTGGCTGCCCCAGGTCTGACTTGAGGGCTTCTGCCATGAATACTGTTACCACCCCTAGGCTTCTCCATTACAGCACTTACCATTCTGTATTGGGATTACTTTTTCACTTCTCTGAAGCCTCCACTGGACCAAGCTCCTTGAGGGCAGAAACCACGTCTCAATATTCATTTTTCTAGCTGTAGCTCCAAACCCAGGAGGAGGCTCACATAGTGTTTAATCAGCCAATTAGCTAACAATTTGTCAGTTAATCATTTCCAAACGTTTATTCTGGTCAGGGACTTTTCAACAAATTAAAGATACAGTGGGGAACAAGACCAGATAAAGCCTCTCCTCTCATGGAGTTGGCATGTTAGCAGGCAGACGGTAAGTAGGTAAAAACAAACAAACAAAATAAAAACAGAATTTTAGTACTGATGAATAAAATAAAATAGAGTAATTGATGGAGAGCAGCTTTAGGGGATTTCTTTGGCGGGGGGTCCAGGAAAAGCTGGAGGAGACATTTGAGATGTTACTTGAATGATGAAATGTAACTATGTGTGATCTGTGGGAAGAGAAGAATTTCAAGCAGAGGGAAACATCAGAGGCACAGGCCCTGAAATGGGAACGAGCCTGGCAAGTCTGGCAGACAATAAGAACGCCAGAGTGAGTAAAGGGCAGAGACAGATGGTGAGAGTAGAAGGAAAGAAGGTCAGAAGCTTGAACTGTGTTCAAAGGAAGCCACTGAAATGTTTAAGCTGGGGCTGGAGATGTTATGATTTATGTCCTTAATAAGATCGCTCTGGGGTGCAGATTTTAGAAGGGCAATGGTGGAGCTGGGAGACCAGCGAAGAGATTGCTGGCACTGACCTAGACCAGTGGTTCTCAGTCAGGAGTGTTTTTGCACCCCTAGCCCCCCAGAGGGCATTTGGCACAGTTGGGAGAGATTTTTGGTTGTCACAGCTGTGGAGTGGGCACATAGTGGCTAGAGGTCAAGGATGCTACTCAAAAGCCTACCCCGCACAGGACAGCCCCTCATGACAAAGACTTATCTGGTCAATGTGCTGTGCCAAGGTTGAGAAACCCTGATCAAGAGAGAAATGGTAGGTTTGATCGGGTGGTAGTATTGGAGTTGTGAGAAGGTAGTTAGCCTTGAGATGCATCTGGAGATTGCTGTGAGCTATACAGGACTTGTGGACTCCTAGGTTTGGGGCCTGAGCAATAAGGGGGATACTGGTAATAGATACTGTGATGAGGAACACTGGGGATGAGTCATTAAAGCATAGGTGATATTTAAAGCTATGAAGCTGGGTGAAATCATCCAGGGGGATAATGTAAACAGAGAAGGGAGGAGGGCCTGGCAGAACCATGGGCCACAGTGAGATTGGAATCATGTGAGAGGCGACACAGCCAACACACAAGGCAAGAGTAAGGTCCTTAGGAAGGCCAGGGAGGATGTGTGCTAAGCTCAGGGGAGGGGGGCCTGCGGAGCAGGGACATTTCTTCTCCTGAAAAAGGAGGGAAGGCAAAGTCCATGAACAGAGATGTAGGCAAGTTATGGATTTCATGGTGGAAAGGAGAGCAGTTCCCGTCTGATCACTCTGTTGTCTCTATAAACTAAGGTCTGAGTATGAGTACCAGTTGGGTGTGAGTGTGAGTGTGAGTGTGTGTGTGAGAGAGAGAGAGGGAGATACTAGAGATGTGAGAAGAGAGGATGTTATGGAATAGCTAACTTGGAGGAGGGTAATGAAGTCTGCATGGAAATGAATTAGAATGGTCTAAC